TTGAATTAAATTATTTCTGTGTAATTTATATTTATTTTAAAAATAATGATATTTAAAATTTGAATTGATTTATTTTAATTCTGTTTAAAATATATTTATATACAAAAGAATTTAATTTAAAATAAAAATTCATTTAATTGAAAAACGTTTTATTTTAATTTATTTAAAAAAATTATTTGAATTTTAAATAGAATTAAATAATTTCTGTGTAAGTTATATTTATTTAAAAAATAATGATATTTAAATTTTGAATTAATTTAAGTAGTTATATTAGTTTATTTATATTTTATATAATGGATGAAATAATGTGCTGTTAAATTTTGTTATAGATGGCATCATCTTCTACATCTATGCGTGTGAGTTGTGGACCTGTTGAGGATGATTTATTGTCATTGCAATCCATACATGTTTCACAACATGTTTGGAATAGAGAAGAAGATAGGAGATTATTAGCACGACATGCTGCTCCAACACGGAATGGAATTGACGGAATTCCACATCAAATAGTTCCGTTAATAGACCAGGCTGAATTTGGATGGATTGCTCGGTTGAGTTATATCAAAGTTAGTCCTGGTTTATTAACTACTCTGGTAGAACGATGGAGACCAGAAACACACATTTCATATGCCATTTGGAGAATGCACAATTACTCTCCAAGATGTTGGTATGATTGTTGGTCTTCCAGTTGACGGTAAAACACTGTTAAGTCGAGGCAGTGCTAATATATTCGAATTAGGTACTAAAATAACTATACTTTAACATTTAAATTATTTTTAGTAATTGTGTTTTATAATATTAAAAATCGGTAAATAATTTGTTATATTTTATGCAGCTCATGATTTTTTAGGTGTTGTTCCACCCGAGTCAGAAATTAAAGGACATCGGGTGAAATTATCTTGGTTGGCAACATATTTTAATGACATTGCAGATGATGTACAGGAGGTACATCAGTTGCTTCCTTATGCTCGAGCTTGGATACTACGCTTTATAGGAGGGCTTCTGTTTCCTGATAGATCTTCTAGCTATGTCTCATTGAGGTGGTTGGCGTTCTTAGGTGACTTTCAGACCATTAAGACGTATGCATGGGGTGCTGCTGTGCTTGGATATTTGTATCGCAATTTATGCACCTCTACTGATTACAAAACGCCAAGTTGTGGTGGATTTACACTTTTATTGCAGTTATGGGCATGGGAACGATTCCCTACCATTCTGTCTTCTCCATTCCCACCTATTCCTCCAGCCAGTCCTATTGGTTTAAGGTATGATGAAATTCAAATATTAACATTGTTAAAATTATTAAATAAATGTTACAGAAATTAATTGCTTACATTTTGATTTCAGGTGGTCCAACACAGCCACTAAAATAAGCATGAGCGACGATATTAAATATTATCGCAAATTCTTTGATCGTTTGACCAGAAAATCAGTAAGTAACTTAAATTTAATGGGTTTATGGTTTTCATTATGTAAGTTAATAGTATTTAAATATAAACTAATTAAATTATTTTATTAATTTATTTTTTTTATTTACAGATTATTTGGCAACCATATCCGCCTTTGGAACAGATGCCCGAGGACTGCACACAGGGGATCCGTATTTGGGGTTCTGTAATCCCATTACTTTCTCTCTGTATTTGTGAATGGCATCAGCCTGATAGGGTGATGAGGCAATTTGGTTGCCAACAACCAATTCCAAATCCTCCAATCACTCCTGCTCATGTGCATGCGTTGGCCCTGCGGGGAAAGACTGATGATGATTGGAGTACAGTATTAAGTCCAGCACTTGAGCACTGGGCCAATCGATATGCATACCACTTTCCAGCTACTCCTCCACAGGTTGGACTATTAGGTCCAAATTCTGAATACATGAGGTGGTATCGCAGAAAGGGGAAGTTGTACATTGATCCTGATGAAGTTAAAGACTCGATTGTGGTATGTGTATAGTACAACTCATATTTTAATATATGATTTTGTTAAATTATAAAGTTGTAAACTAATTTTATTATGTTTTGTATATGTAGGGAGACGTAACTGAATGTTTGGCATACTTGACATCTCAGGCCAGAGTTTTCTGTGGAAGCAGTCATAGAGCAGATGAAACATGATAATGCTTTCAGATGGTTCACAATTATCAATTTCATCTTCATTGGATTCATCAATGCTTTCATATGATGATGAAACATGATAGTCTTCATCTTCTTCGTCATCTTCATCTTCATCTCTTGTGATCAAAGGTGATCGTTCAATTGACAAATTTTCTAATGAAAAAGTAGAAGATTCTTGCATACCTATTTCAGCATATAATTCCATTATTGGCATCACATTCTGGCTCTGAAATGCTTCTATCATGCATTGTACATCATCATCGTCACTCAATTCCAATGAAGAATATATGTTGTTATCACCTTGTGAAACTAAAAATCTGTAACTTACAGATAATATCACTTGATTTGAGTTAAGATTAAATTTGTTGTGAATCCTTCTCTTTAATATATCCAAAGTGATACCTCGTTTAATATACATTCCTTTTCTTGGTCCATCAAATGTTATACCTTCAGCACCTTCATACATCTTTCCAGTGTAAATATAAGCAATCATTTGATCCATAATATCTACAACAAAAAAAAATTAATTAATGCAAATACCTACTATTTATATCTTAACAAAAACAAAATTATACTCACCGAATCAAAAACAAACGTAACTGGCTCAGAGATTTAAATCAGACCAAAACGTAACTGATAAATATATGATTTCAACTGTGAAAAAAACGTAGCTGTGAGGGGGGTATATATAGTGATAGTGGCGCTGTGGGCCATAGCGACACTGTGTCGCTATAGGCCACAACGCCACTTTTAAATAATTTAAATGACAAAAATATATATAGAAAATAAAAGAAATTACAGAAAAATTAAGTTTATAATTACAAAATTAATATTTAACTGCTAATATAAAATAAACAAATTTTCAAACAAATTAAGTTAATAATTTAAAAAAAAGGAAATTAATTAGTGGCGCTGTGGGCCATAGCGACACAGTGTCGCTATAGGCCACAACGCCACCTTTAAATAATTTAAATGAAAAAAATATATTATGAAAATAAAAGATATTACAGAAAAATTAACTTTATAATTAAAAATTAATATTTAACTGCTAATATAAAATAAACAAATTTTCAAACAAATTAAGTTAATAATTTAAAAAAAAAACAAATTAATTAGTGGCGCTGTGGGCTATAGCGACTTAGTGTCGCTATAGGCCACAGCGCCACCTTTAAATAATTTAAATGAAAAAAATATATTATGAAAATAAAAGATATTACAGAAAAATTAACTTTATAATTAAAAATTAATATTTAACTGCTAATATAAAATAAAAAAATTTTCAAACAAATTAAGTTAATAATTTAAAAAAAAACAAATTAATTAGTGGCGCTGTGGGCTATAGTGACTTAGTGTCGCTATAGGCCATAGCGCCACTTACATAAATAGTTAAATATATTTTTCAAAATTACGTTTTTAATTAACTATTTTTTTTAAAATATATAATAAGTAAACTCAGTTTATTATTTTTAGATTACATTTAAATTATTTTAGTTTTTTTTTCTTAAGTGGTGTCGCTATGGGCTACACCATTTTTGTTGGCCCAGAATTTGTGTTGGTCCAGCCCATAGCGACACTTGTGTGGCTTTTTCCAGCCATCACATGGCCAAAAAAAAAAAAGCCACGTGTTAATGGTGTCGCTATGGGCCATAGCGACACCGTTATAAACAGCCCCAAAGGCGTAAATAACTTCAAAACAGTCCCATTTACGTAAATAAGTGGGTCAACGACCCCACTTTGATCAAAAACCCAATTAATTAAGTAGAGAGCATCTCAGTCACAGTCCTTTCTTTTGGCTTCTATGTATAGTTCACCTAATAAATGCCTTTTCTTTTTTATTAATGATAGTAAAAGAAAATATTAAAAAGAAAAATAATTTGGCAGCAGACAAAAAATAGCAATAACATTCATGTTAAGAAATTAATTTTAGATTAAAACTAATTTTAAATTAAAACAACTTTAGAAAGTTTTTACATTAGATAAAAAAATACTAAATTTTATTATTAATTTATTTTTAAATAAAAATATTTTGAAAAGAAATTACTTCACTTTGAAAATAATTTTATTTAAAATCAATTTTACAAAAACTAAAAATCACACATGAAATTTTCTACTACAAAGTTGGATCAGATCAATTCGCAAACAGCCGTGTTTAATTTGAACTATGCCCTTGAGCAGAAGTTTAATTTCAATTTTCAAAGTTCAAAGCCGTCTTTGTATTTGACCGCACTTCACTTTGGTCTACCATTTCATAATAAAAAAATTCAATTCCTCTAATTTTTTTTCATTATTAAATTTACAACTAGTTTTATACGGTATACTCTAGGCTTCGCAGCTAGTTATTAATCTCACTTCGGTTCCAATTCCCTAAGCATGGCAACGGGGCGGGGCGGGAGCGAGTTTTACATTCCCCGCCCCCGCTCCCGTCCCGTAAATTTAAACCTCCCCTATTTCCGTCCTCGATACTCGTCGGGGTAAAATTTATGTCTCCATCCTCGTCCCCGGCGGGGTTCAGGTTTCCCTACCCTGCTCTCGCCCTCGCTCCTATTTTTTTTCTTTTTTTTTTTTAAATAAATATAAACAATTTAAAAAAAAATATAGATTTTTATATATAAATATTTCTAATTTTGGTTTATATATATATAAATAATTTTTTAATTATATTATTAAGGGGGGCGGGGGCGGGGGTGGGGCGGGGGCGGGATGAGTATTAACATCCCGTCCCCGCCCCGATTTTATCAATCGGGAAAAACCCGAACCCGAACCCGAAATCGATAAATACGAGTTTTTTCCATCTAAATTGGGGCATGTTTGGGCGGATACCCATGAGGACGGGTTAGATTGTCATGCCTACAAGTAATGTTCAAACTTGCAACGTGATTATTTCAGTTTTTGGTACATATATATGGAAGAGAAACAATTTTGGTATTTCAATCAATGGATCATATTTGACTTCTACTTACAATTTTATTATGCTATTTATTTATTTATTTATATGGCAAAGTGTACATATACAACCATATGTACATCAAACAACAAATCCCTAATGAATTTGTTACATCAGTTTTATTCGGCAAAGAATTAAATCTAAGCGGCTAGATATCAAACGAGGAACAATTGCTTCAGATTGTAAGAGTCAACGACATCCCTGTTACCACTCCACATTAGCTTTGCGAAATGTTCAGCAGCACTCTCTGTTGGATGAAGAGAATCAAAGAACACATGCTCATTAACATTGTTGCATAGTTCATATTCTTCAATCCCCCTTTTCCCTCCACAACTATAATCACCTCTAAAGGGACCACCTCCACAACAAGCTGCATTCCCCTCTTTGAAACCTTAAAAAAAAAAAAAAAAATAAAATCATAACATAGCAATAAAGATGAAATTTCCCTTTTTTTTTTTTTGAAAAATAATGTCATATATATACAGATTAAGGCTCATGCATATACCATATTTTGAAGGGTACTTCATTAATTTTAGCAGCACGTCGTGGAAGTTAAGAATCGAGTATTTGAATCCCTTTAGTTGTTTTTCTAGGTTTTGAAGTATTTCGGGAAAAGCATTATTGTGTAGCCTTGCAAGTGTCGAAGCTTCTCCTTTAAGACATGCATCAATTGTTGTACCATTTATAGATCTCCTTAGAAGTGGAAGGCAATTAAGAGGACCCAAATTTATAAACCCAAATTTTCTTCCACCTTCAACGTAAATTTCCTGTGTGAAATATCATTTCTCAAAATTAATTACTGACATGTGAGAACCAAAAAAAGTAATGCTATTGAGGGGGATAAAGGATCAACTAAACCTACTTTAATTGTTGTTGTAATGTTGCCAATGACAAAGTCTACAAAATTTTGTTGAGAATATGGAATGACCACAGTGGTATTATTGGAGTTTGTATAGAAAGGGGATGCATAATCATTGCCTCCAATGGAAAATATATAGACAGCTGTGGACAACAGTTTCATGGCTTTCTCTTCTCCTACCTTCTTCCTCAATTGCTTGCTAACTTTGGCGAAGTACAGTGCTTGAGTTTTCAAATCAATCACCTAACGGAGTACAAAAGTTTACATGAATACCAAAGATTCAACTCATCCAAGTAATTAATTGGAATGTGCTGTACGAAAGTTTAGTCATTAAAGTAACATACACCAAGATATTTAGAAAATCTTTATTTAAATAACATAGTTAATATAATCATGACAGTAAAATACACAACTTCGAGATTCTTTTTCTTATACATCGGATCAGACACTCGAGATTTTATCTCTCTCTTTAGAATATCAATATAACGATCTAGGTAGCATCAATTAAGAATTAATATCATAAATAAATAAAAAATTAATCAAGCAGTACCAGTCCTTGATTAGTTTCACTCAAAGCTCCAGCTCCAGCAGATGCAAAATTCACCCCATAAATGTATTCATCATGGTATCCAGGATGCAAGTATGGCGGAATAAGAGGCAATTCTGCATACTCAGCTGTAAACATGCATCCACTCATCAAAATAAATATAAAAAATTAACCTAAAAGCATCACTTTGTCTGGCAAAATCAAATCAAATAACGAGTTTATGATATGTGCATAAAAATTAACAATTTATCATAAATGATGATTTATAATTAAATGAAAATATAAAATTATTTTATACGGTTGATATATCACTTATTTTTCACATAATATATTGCTTCAAAAACGAAGTGAAAAAGTATACCAACAAAATCAGGAACTACACGTCCATTAGAAAATCTTCCAGAGGGGTACTTAAAGAAAGTTTCTCCATATGGTGGAAAGTTGGATTGGAAAAATGTGGTGGCATTGATGTAGTCATTGTTTCCATTATCAAATACCGAGTCTCCAAATATGAATAGGGCTCTGTGGTTTTCCGGCAAACATGTACTGCTTAGAGAACAAGAGTGATGAATGTTGAGAATAAAGGAGCTAAGGAAGATAATAAACATAACAAAGACCCTTAAACTGGCCATATTACAAATTCACTCTTCACATACAAATCTAAGTATTGTGTTGCCAATTCTTATATAGGCCATGTATTGGTGTGAGTGTGACATATATATTTGTAGCAGTCACAAATAAGAAAAGTCGAAGATTGTATGGTTATTCTAATTAAGACTTTTGATTCTTTGATAGGACGTTTTAACTTTAGTTGAAAATAAGAGATAATAAGGGTAGAAATTTTTACGGAAATAATATTTTTTAAAAGAAAAATTACAAAAATGACACTTGTGCAAGTTTATTTACACAAATAGAACGGTTTACTGTTCAAGCTCGGAATTCGGTTCCCCGGGAACTGAATTCTGAGCTTCAAAATTTTTTTTTCTTCTCAAAATTCGGTTCTCGGGGAACCGAATTCTGAGTTAGTTTAATTTTTTTTTTTCGTGTTTGTGGCCCATTTTGGGCAAATGTTGGAAGTGGAACGGCCTGTTCCTGAAGCAGAACGGGCCGTTCTGCTTAAAGAAACAGAGTTTTTTTTTGAAGTGGAACGGCCCGTTCTTTGAAGTGGAACGACCCGTTCTTAGCCCGTTTTAATTTAAAAAAAAAGACTCTATGTCTTTAAGCAGAACGGTCCGTTCTGCTTCCGGAACGGGCCGTTCCATTTCCAACATTTGCCCAAAATGAGCCACAAACACGAAAAAAAAAAAATTTAAAATAACTCAGAATTCGATTTCCCGGGAACCGAATTCTAAAAAGAAAAAAAAATTTGAAGCTCAGAATTCGGTTCCCGGGAAACCGAATTCCAAGCATGAACAGTAAACTGTTCTATTCCTGTAAATAAACTTGCACAAGTGTTATTTTTGTAATTTTTCTTTTAAAAAATATTATTTACGTAAAAATTTCAATAAGGGTATATATTAGTTTATATATTAAACTCATATATTACATCATTTTAGTTGTAAAAGACTCATTTAATTTAATATCATAAAATACAATATGCTAAATAGAAATAATTATCATATGAGAAAATATAAATTTCCTACATAAATTAGTTAAGAAATGCTAAATATATTTGTTAAATATTTAAAACTAGAAGACGATAAACTTATTTTTAGAACTAAGTTTTTTACATGGATTTCTCTCAATACCTTTTTAAATTAATATAAAATTTACCAACACGTCCACTAATAATGTGATATCATTTTGATGACTATGCATATGTCAAATTTTACACAAAACTAGCATAATAAGCTATGTGGAATTTATTATATTGTAAGTTAAAATTAAACAATTTGATTGAAAAACTAACAAATAATTTTTAAATTATATAAAATTTCATATACATAATCGATTTAATTGTAACTTCAGTATCAATTATTAAATTAATAAAATTTTATATTTATAAAAAGATTATCAAGTGAAATAAGTTAAACAGAAGTTATTCTTAAAATAAGTAGATTCTTCATTTTTTTTTATATAAATAAATATTAAGTATTTTTAATATTTTATACAATATATCTCTTTTCAAAAAGAAAAATATTATAATTTATTTAAAAATCCTTATTAGCATTTGCCAACATTTACAATTTACCTCAAGGTCAAACAAAATTTTCAAATTACAATGTATCATGGACAATGTCGTCAAATGCGTATGATAATGGGCTTCGTGGACTCGATGCTGTAAAAGGATAAATTACGCGTGTAGGTATTTCAAAGAGCGGTAATTCTTATAAATGAGAAAACTGGCAGCCATTTTTCCTTTTTGAGTTGTGATTTCTTGAGCAAACAAGAAAATTCTGATTCGGGTTTAATCAATTTGGAGGAGTGATCAACAAAATAAAATGTGATTTTTATGTAGTTTATCGAAAAATAAAAAATATTATTAGATATATAAATAATTAAATTTAATAGTTCATATTTATTTGATAATAAAAATTTATTAATGTATTAATTTAATTTTGTGATGATAAATAATCAATTTGTCCAAAAAAAAAATATAAACTTCACTCGACTATCTGGACCCTCCCTTCCATTCTCTTATAGCTATTGCCCCCTTCAACTTTTCTAACTTTAACTCTGACGATTGGATGAATATCCTCATCACCACCACCAATACTCTTGCCTGTTTTTATTTTGCAGCGAGTCCATTGTCGTCGGAGTGAAGAGCAAGTAGTAACTATTGAGTTAAGTCCAAATAGATTTTTTTTTTAATAAAAAAAACACTTTGATAATCTTAAATAATCTAACTAAAAAATAAATAAAAATAATTACTGTTCACTTATAATATAATAAATTTGTCTACCATAACCAACGTCGGATATATAAATTCACTTTCATCACTTTTTCATAATCCTCTTCCTCCTCAATTTTAATTTTACAAAAAAAGTTATCGTATCTTTTTAAAGTAACATTTTTCAAGATATTGCGTGTAAGTATCGACTAATTAAGAATACTTACTATTCCAACATTGAATGCCAAGGAGATTAGCTAAAAAATTGCAAAGAATATAGTGGAAGCCAAATCCTGTTGCTAACTTCATCTCTGACGCCTTAAATATACTTTATGTGAATTTTCTGCACATCCTTCATTTGTTTCTCTATTGATTTACAATATCATAATTTAATAATTCCATAAACGTGCGAACCGAAACATTTGATATACTCTATTACCAAATACGTGCTTGACTTCGCTCTAGGTATCTAACATCAGACTAACAGAAACATTAGTCGTTTTCTCCAAAAATTAATCGGTCAAAGTGATAGGATAGGCAGAATCTCAAAAGAAGAAAAAATAAATGACTTAAAAATTATGTAAGATGGTTTTAAAATACTGTATTGTATTCATCTATTAATATTTTATTTTAATTTTGTAAAATAAGATAATGACATTTATAAAATCATTCTTAATAAATATTAGATTATAAATTTGTATCTTTATTTAAGAGATATTAATAAAAAAATATCAATCAATGAAAATATCAATATTTGTAACGTAGTTAGTAGACTGGAACGGAGCGTTTCCAGATTGGAACGGGTCGTTCCAAACCACTAAAACAAGGGTGATTTAGTAGCCTAGAACGGGTCGTTCTCAAACTGGAACGGGCCGTTCCAAACTACTAAATAGGCCTGTGAATCTTGGACTGGAACAGGCCGTTCCAAAATGATCATTGTGAGTTAAATTCAACTCTAGAACAGGCCGTTCCGATTTTAGAACAGGCCGTTCTAGACGTGTTAGAATGGGCCGTTCTGGTTTCAGAACAGGCCGTTCTGCATGTGATTTTACACATGATGAAGGATTCCAGAACGGGTCGTTCCGAATTTGGAACGGGCCATTCTAGCCAGTTTAGACTTTTATAAATAGAGGTTGTGGGCAGTTGAGGAAAATGGAGGTTTTAGAGAGAAATTATAGAAAGAAAGACTCTGGACTAGAAAACTGTTTTTGGAGGATATTTCTTCTTCTTCTTCTTCCTTTCAGATTTGCATTTTAGTGGGTTTTGGAACCTTTCCTATGTGGCATAATTTTAATGGTTAAGTAAGCCAAGTCACTTAAATTTTTAAAAATTGTAAAATAGTCCTAAGTGTTAGGTAAATTCTTGGATGGATCACTTATACAAGTAATGTATCATATACCCTATCACACAAGATTAAAGTTTCTGAATTTTTTATTAAAATAATTATTTTTTTAAAAAAAATTACAAAAAAACACATGTCCCAATGTAATGACGCAACTGTTATTCAGGTTCAGAACGGGCCGTTCTGAAATAAGAATGGCCCATTCCGGATAAAATAATAACACATGAAGAATGGATCAGAATGGGTCGTTCTGGACGAAAAAATAACACATGACGAATGAATCAGAACGGGCCGTTCCGAAATCAGAACGGCCCGTTCTGGTTTAACTGGTCATGAGCTTTTTTTGAAACTGGAACGGGTCGTTCCGATTTTAGAACGGCCCATTCCAATATCAAAAAAAACACATGACCAGTTAAACCAGAACGGACCGTTCTGATTTCAGAACGGCCCGTTCTGGACAGAGAGTTCAACATATGAAAATAAACGTGAGCACACATAGATGGGACATCCAATACAAAACCCATTGTTTCACACACAAGAATACATGCAATGGTACATGGTCAATTCCATCTATTTTCTATCTATGTTATGACTATTATCACAGATCAACATAAATCCTAAACCCTAAACCCTAAACACATTTAACTGTGTATTTCTTAATTGATGAAGCATTGACAAGTAGATACATTTAGATAAGTAGATACATCTTGACACCCTTTCTCATATATTGGATTGGACTTAATATTTTCAACCCGAGTCCGTCCGAACCCGCCCCGTGCTCAGGCCTAATCTAAGAAGGAGTTGGATTTATTAGACGTCAAGTCTTTAGTTCTCTCTCAGTTAGGATTTAGTAACTTTATTAGCAAATATTTCTAATATATATATATATATATATTTTATTATTTTATTTTTGTAGTTTTTGGTTTAGAAGATTAGCTCCATATTAAAAGGAAAAAAAAAGAATTTTGACTTTTTTGCAATTGAAAAACAAACTAGTAGCACAAATTTCACCGGAAAATATTATGATCATATTAAATTGTCACATTACATGCTATTTCGAGTGGCTACACATAAAATATACGAAAAAAATTGTCCAAGGAGAGCATTTAATTCATTATGATCTAGCCTTTTCTTTTATACTGCAAATTAAATTTATGAATCCAACTAAAAAAAAATGAAATTTAACATATTTATTCAAACTTAACTTTAATCACAACCCAACGGTTTGTTTTAGTGTTAGTTGAACCTGTAGTCTGTGAATAATTAATCATACAATCACTTTTTTTTTTATCAAAACTATGTCATCTACTTATATCCCAGCTACAAGCAAAATCTTATGAATAATCTCAACGTGAATGAGCTGTCTTTGACCATAATAAAGAAATCATTTAAGAGAAACTCTCCGGAACCCTTGCATTTTAGTGGGTTTTGGAACCTTTCCTATGTGGCATAATTTTAATGGTTAAGTAAGCCAAGTCACTTAAATTTTTAAAAATT